GCAAGCACCTAAGTTGAGTCTGAACAACAGCACCCTATCACCAAATGCAGTGGAGCACATGAGACCAAACACAAGCATGCTGGACAGGCAGGTGACCAAACACCACTGCTCACTTCAGCATCCCTGGAACTCACATCTGGGGCTCACCACAGGTTCTATGGCGAGTGGACTGAAGGCGTACCAGATCTTTCCTAAAGGCTTTGCATAATGCCTCAGTATGATGCAGACTAAGTGGCATTTCTGCAGCCAGGTCTTACGTGCCCCAGAGGAGGTGGGTAGGAATTTCCAGATTTCTGCTAACGCTCCCACTCCTCCCTTCTGCACTGGACATGTGCATCTTCATTGCTTCGCAGGCAGTGGTCAGTGGCTGGCTGGATAATCAGGGATGCAGAAGAAACACGGCTGGAAAGCGGGGGACGCCAAAGTGTGGGGAAGATGGATCAACATTCCCAAATGGGCACAGAGCATCCCAGTGGGAGCTCAGCATCTCGAGAGAAAGAGCTTAATGATGGCAGGATGACACTTCCTGTGACCTCTGTCAGGTCACCTCCAGACCCTCCCTTCCTTGATTAATTGGATAATGAACAAAGTAGCCATGGTGTAAAAGTGGGTATGCATGAGACCAGTAGTACAAACGTCTCCTGGGTGAGTACAAGGCTGGTCCGGCTGTAGCCACTGGTAAGTGTCTGACTCACCAAAACTGAGTCTGACTCCAAGTCTCTAACACAGCACCACGGTCTGAAAGAACCAATCAGCTCTCCGATAGCAGCAGGTCAGTAACTGGGATCCTCCTGGCACCCAACGGCTGCGGTTGTTCTCACTCTGCAGAAACTCAGTCTGTCCCAGACTTGCCTTTCAGGTCCTCAGGACTGTTTCCAAAACCAGCACCTATGAACTCACGGAACTCTCACATCTTATTCACTGTCGTGGAATTCCAGTGCTGTTTCTGACCGAGGAAATCACCGTGGTAAATTAACCGTGGCAAAGCTCATGCTTGCAGAACTCATCAGTCTTCGCATGTTCTCCATCACTGCGAGGCCGGGAAAGGTACAGTGGCTCTCTGACAGTTCCACTTCTAGGCTAAGTGGACAGAGCTCTGCGGGCCAAGGCTAATGCAATTAAATTCTCTAAATCATCATGTAATATTGGCTGGGCGACTCAGCAAGGCCCTGTCACCAAAAAACTGTAATAAAAAGGGCAAGGTATATAACTCGGTCCAAAGGCCTGCGGTCTCGAGGTGCTGGCTGAGGCAACTGTGGCTATCAAAAGGACATGGAACCATTAGGAGGCTTGTGGGCCGCAGAGGAGGGCTCTGCGACTCAAGTACATCTCCTGCGAGTCCCATCCTGTAGCTACTTCTGTTACTGTAGCAAAGAAAAGGAAAGACAACGTGACCTAGATTCTATTTCCAGGGCCTGAATCCTCTTAAAACAGAGGCCCACAGGACCTCAACAGGTAAGGCATGGTGACCGGGAGCTGTGCTGTGCTTCCCGAGGCCGAGGGTGCCTCAGTTGCCCAGGGAAGGAAGGAGTTACAAACATCAGCTACAGACAGAAGACAGCAAGAACGGGGAACATTTCTTATTTTCGTGGAAATGTACATCTTCTACTTACTGCTTCTTTTCTTCGTTCTCTACGCATCACCTAATAGAAAACGGATAAAATCAGTTTGCTCTGTAGCTGTAGCTATGGGCTGCTGTGTGGATTCTCATGACCGAGAGCTGTGTTGGACAGTCTGGGGCTGGACACCCACGCCAAGGGGTCGGCCAGGCCTGGCTCCTTGTGTGGGCTCCAGGGGGCATCTGCTGGGTGCTTCTCTCTTTACCCACTTGGTCACTTGGCTACTGGTTGTTCCTGGGCTGTAGACACGTCACTGCAGTCTCTGCCTCTGATGTCCACCGTGTGTGTGTGTATGTGTGTGTATGTGTGCACCTCTCCTTCTAAGTACAAAAGGCATTGGTTAAGCCCGTCTTGCTCCAATATGACACCTTGTTACCTACATTACACCTACAAAGACGCCACTTCCAAAGAAGCTCACAGCTGTCCAGGTGTCAAAACACCTTTTTAGAAGACACATTGCAGCCATGCTTTACCTCGGCATTTAAACACAGCACCTCAAACAGAGAGCAGACTCAGTTAGAAGAGGATTTAACGTTACCCCTGCAAGTAGATAAAGTAACAAAGAGCTGTGGGTGGGGATGAATGTGTTTTCATCTGTGCTGGAGGGAGTCCCTGCAGCAAGAAGCATTATTTTTCTAGCATCCTCCTTTGGATACTCTGTGTGGTGGACGGAAGTGCAGCTGGAAGACATGTCGGCAAGGGGTGGACAGTGGTGGCCACATCAGAAGTTATAGTCCCCAGACCCCACGCTCCCTTTCCTGTCTCCCACGGGTTGAAGTCTGCTGGTGGGAGATCTGCAGGAGGCTGGAGGGCAGAAGTGAAGAGCAGCCCTGTACCCTGGAGGGTGCCTGCTGCTAACAGGACTGCACACGGCCCCATCAGACCAGGGCTCACCCTGACTGAGGGCAGAAGCTGTGCTGGTGGCTCCTGAGCCCCCTCTGCTTTCCAAAGTCAGCTTCGCCAAGTCCAGGTGAAGGTCATCATGTTCAGCGCCATGATGGAGGCGCCCAGACCCATGTGGCCCCACACAGGCGGGGACCGGCTGAGGTGGGTCTTCATTTCTCTTCTCAGTTCCTTCTCCCTCACACTCCTCTATTTTGGGCAGGCTCATTCCTGGGTAACTGCACTGGTCTGGAGACTTCTGGCCCTCGTCACACAGAAGCGATACTCCCCAGGGGTCTCACTCTGTCCTCGGACCTGAGGTTTGCTCCCCAGAACAAGCTTAGTCCACACCACGCGGTGTTTCTGCTGCTGATCAAACCTGGTAAGAACCCCACAGCCCACACTGACAAAGGCGGTCTCAGAGGAGGAAATGTGGGCGCAGGGGCAACACTGCACCCACATCCTATGCCTCACACTAATCCCTTTGTTACTGTTCATCCATCTGTGGCCACTGCTTGTCCATCTTCCACCATCTCGTCCCCCTCCCCCAGGCCACACAGGACAGCTGTCTCTGCTCGTGGCTTGTAATCAAACAGCTGAGGCTGGATGTCACATGTTCGGGGGATCCCATGGCTGTGCACAGCTTATTTCCAAGAGCCTGTCCACAGCCATGGCGAAGGCTGATATTGTTTGATCTGTGCTCAGTTTGCTTTGCCTTCCAGTAGAAGGGGTCTGATTAAGGCACTGTCCTAGTCAGCACCTCCTAGTTCTTCACTGAAATCTATTTTCTTCCCCCAATTTTCTCTCATCTCAGTGGGCTTTCAGAAGGTCAGAACTCCCCATTTACTGCCCACCTGATTGCAGGTCCCACACATCCCTCCTCTCTCCCTGCATGTGCCCTCTGTGGTCAGCATCCTGTGTCCCCGCCCTCCCACCGTCTTTGTCTGACAGCATCTGGAAAAGGCTGTTGTTTCTGTGCAGGGTGCAGGGTTAGGACTCAGCTGCTGGAAGAGCATCGGCCACTGGATAAACGCGCCCACCGCCAGGGTCCAAGTCCTGTTCCACCTAAGGTGACAATGCCTACTGAGTGTGTTTTTAAAAATTATTAGACACATTACAGATTCTACAGAATCATTAAGCTCAGCGGCACCATGCAGCGCTCGTTGGCTCTGGGAGAAATGACTCATCGGTTAGGGGCTCTGCTTTCTACAGAAGACACAGGCTTTTCCTGGCTCAGTCTCAGGCTCCCCAGCAGCTGGTGAGGCCCCGAGAGCAGGGAGCCCTGGTTCCGGAGCAATGGCTGGATTCATCCACATTGTATTCATGAAGTGATTAAGGTTTCTCATGAAGAAATGAAGGCTGAGTGCCTGGAGCAGATGAGAAGAACTGACATCCCTCCCAGAATGCTCAGCGTGCTCGGCCCTGGCCGCCCTGGGACGATGCTCCTAAATCATAAGCCTCCAAAACTACGGATCATTTCCATGTAGCTGAAGAACAGAAACTGTAATGATTCTTTCCCTCCTTTTGTAGAAGGAAGGAAAAGCGAGGAAGGAAGGGAGGGAGGAAAAGAAGGAAAGAAGGAAGGAGGAAGGGAAGGAGGGGAGAAAAGGGAGAACAAAAAGAAAACATGCACACTCTCAGAAATGTAGCATTCAAATTTAAACAAAAATAGTGTGACACATTACTATATATTTTACATCATTAATTATAAAAAAATCTGACTTTAAATGGTCTCCAGCATAAAGGAAATAGCTGCTAACAAGTTGTTCGGATAGGAAATAGCAAACATGGACTCACTCTTCAGCTGACTAACACTTCAATTTAAAAGAAGCCCAAACAGCTCAGTGAATTCTGGTTAAATTCAATCTCTCTTTTTCTCCTAATAAATGAAAAATCTAAATAGCTTTTTTATTCAAAATAGAAATGTCAAAATATTTTGTGATATAACTTGTAAGCAAACACTCACTAAAATATTGGTGCCAAATGCAGTCACGGAGAACCAGACACAGGAGCTCTCTCACACCTCCGAGTCCCAGCTGCCCCACAGCTCGCATGGCCACGGCCCACTGAGAATGCATGGACCCTGTCTGAGGGTCAGGGATGCCCACCCCTCCTGCAAGCTGACCTCACACAGAGAGTTCAGCCAGCTGGGGGAGACGGGAGAGACATCAAGTGACCAGAGCCAACACAGTGGGGAGGGGCAGACTGGCATCAATGCGCAACTAAGGCCAGCGAGGGGCACGTGGGGCTGCTGGCACGCATGTGTCCTGTGGGATGTCGGGGGTCCCGCACAGGGGACAGGATGGCAGATGAGACTAGTGGGATGGGAATGGCCACGGGACCGGCAGACACCGGGGAGCTTCAGGTTCCAGGTGAGCTTGCCCACGTGGCTCCGTCCCTGGATGGACTCATGAGTCTCTGCTGGACGTGGTGCAAGACACAGAGGGTGAGATCATGACCGCAAATGGAGGCAAAAGAGGGAAGAAAAGAAACGACACATCCCAAAGTGAGTTTCATTTATGTAATGAAAATAAATTTTTACACAATCAACAGAAACACACCAAGTTTTGGTTTTTTTGCGAAAAATATTTTTAAATAAATTTTTGTCTTTTTTTTTTTTTACATTCTGATATACATATGTAACAAGGTTGGTGGCACTGTAACCAGAATCGAATCAAAAGGGAGAAGAGGAAAAAGGCAAAGGCGGGGAGTAACCGGCATTGCTGAATTCCGTCCCGGCACCCCGGGGCTGGGGCCGGCTCCCACTCGGGCAACTGCACAAAGCTGTGGGGTGGGGTGTCCCGCCACTGCCTTTTACTCCAAAAACCCTCTTAGCCCAGGAGAGGGCATCCAGGCACGAAACACACTAAGTAACAGCATCATCGGTGTCTTTAGGGAAGGCAGAAGGGCTCTGGGCCGGAGAAACCCCTGGCTCTCTGGGTGAGAGTGTGGTGGGGCTCGCGTGGCCGGGTTTGGTTTCCTCGTGGGGCGCGGGGAGACCCCGAGCTGCAGCATTCCACGTCCTCGCTCCTCACTTTGGGTTCTTCTGAACGGGCATAAGGTTTGGTATCTTCGGTCTATGAACCTGCACAGACTACTTTGTTGTAAACTCTACGAATAGCTTAAAGGAACGGGAAGAGTCGGTCCTTAGGTTTTTGCGCTGGACTTTGACAACGACCTCTCAGCCTTCCCGCTGGGGTTTGGCGGGGAGTAGAGCTCAATGGCCGCAAAAGGTTTCAGTCTGCTCACACTTGTTAAAAATAGAAAGTCTCTAAACAAGTTTGCTTCCATTCACAAACTACACCTCCAACTAAAAAAGAGAAAGAAAGAAAACTGACAAAACCAGAGTCCACCCTCGGCGGCTGTCACACCACTGTCTCCACGCCCATGAGCTTGGGGGTCAGGATCCGCGGTGTCACCCCGTTGTTCAGGTCTTCCTCAAACTCCAGCAACTGCCCCATGAAGTTAAGGTTCGGGGAAATAATTGGTCTTTTGCCTTTGACAAATTTGTAGGCATCTGTCATGGTCATCCAGGTGTGCTTCATCAGGTAGGCGATGACGATGGTGGCGGACCGGGACACACCGGCCTGGCAGTGGATGAGGAGCCCCTTGCCGCACTGATGTGCCTCCTCTGCAGGGAAGGAGAGAGCAGTGAGGGGCTGGCCCGTCCTGGACCACAGTGCCCCGCCCAGGGGAGTCAAGGGTGCATGGCTGACACCGCGTGGTGAGTCCCCACTTCCACGGGGGCCACACCAGGGAGCAGATGGGGGACTGCATGTCTCAGGGGACAGGGATGGAGGTGAGACCCCCAAGGCCCACACTTGTGCGCTACGCAGGACAGAGCTAGCACCCCATGCCCCTGAGTCCTCTCCCGAATTCTGGCTCCCTTTCCCTGTTTCCTAAAGTCGCACTATCGCAAAAAAGAAAGGAATGAAGGAAAGAGAGAAAGGGAAAAAGATCAAAGCAGGGGAAACTGTGGGCACAAACATAGGCACACAAGTACACTGTGTGTGTGTGTGTGTGTGCATGTGCGCATGTGCATGTGTGCACGTGTGTGATATATCTCCTGTTCTGACGGAGCGGGTTCACTCCACTTGTCAGGCTGTGAGACAGGTGTTGTTAGCAACATCCCTCTGCCAGGGACAGAGAACAAACACGCTCCTCCCTTCCGCTTAGAAGTGCTCTGCCCAGGAGCTGTACCGAGGGGTGAGAGTCCAGCCCTGCTGAGCCTGACCAAAGCTGAGGGGGACGCACAGACTCTGCCAGAAAGTGACTGCATTCAGCTTCTCACAGGAAAACACGTCTCAGCAGAGCGGCTTCGGACTTGCAGCAGAGCCCCGGGGGGCCCCTCACCTGAGTGCCCACTGTGTCCTTCCCTGGATCATGGGAGCACCGAGGGGGACATGGTCAGGAGATGAGGGCCTGCTAAGCTTCATGGGGGTTAGCGCTCTGGGGACCAGGCCATAAGCCTGCCCTGACATGATCCCTGATGACACTGTAGGTGCTGGGGACCCTGTGACAGTTCACTAGGAGCACCAGTTCCACAGAGGCATAGAAGAGGCCAAGGCACAGGACATGCGACCTAAAACGCTCTCCCTGGCTTCTCCTCAGCAGCCAAGGAGTGGAGCAGGCTGAGAATTTTATCTTCAGCATAAACAGATGAGGCTTCCTTCTACAGTGTTTGAAAGGACAGCTGTGTTTAAAGGTCTGGCCTTCACTCCGAGACAAGAGGAGGAGGAGGAGCCAGAGAGGCGCTTAGCACCAGCTTGGCTGTGGTCAGGTGCAGCAGCTGAGTGACCTCAGCATGTGGGTCACATAAATCCCAGAGCCTCGTCGTCCTGGCTCGGGGATATGGGGATCAGAGCGCCCAGAGTTAACCCAGCCCCAGATGCAGCTCAGTCCCTATGAAACCTTTGGGGACCAGTATACTTCCAAAGCCTGCCTGGAAGGAACACTAAGATTTCAGTTTATCCCAGGTGGCGGGCGATGGGTGGAAAAACTGTGCCTCCAAAGGCCATGGTCTGAATTGTTCTTCAAGCTAAATGCTATTAGTTATTGGTTTTGTTTTTCTTCTAAAAATAAAAACCAGAGGAGCCTGAAGCATCTACAAGGAACATGAGCACTTTGCTTGAAATCCTATTAGAACAAGCATGCGTTCGCTGTTCATTCAGTGGAAAACAATCTCCGACTTCCCCACCTGGAGTTAAGGTCAGAGGAGTCGAAGCCAGAGGCTGCGTGTGAAGCAGGAAGTCTCTTGTCTGCTTCGTGGCAGGTTTCACCGTGACTTGGGGCACGTAGAGGCATCTTTACACCCTGCGTTGCTGGCTGGCATGCTACGAAAAGGCCTCTGTCGGGGTCCTGGTCTCCTCTCTAACAGCCCCACAACATGGAGAAGCCATGCTCTGAGCTCCATGGCCTCCCTGAATTTCCTTCCATCCTGAGCTTACCACGCCATGCTGTGGGCCCACTAACAGGACCACAGCTGCACAAGTGACACAGCTCCAGCTCTCCAGCAGGCCACCAGCATGGGTCAGACCCAGGACTTCCTTCTGACAGAGGGGTGGCAGCCAGGAGGGTGCTCTTCTTGGAGAGGAAGGGAAGATCCAGCCACTGGTCAGGGTGACAAAGGTCAGAGTGACTTGAGAGTGACTGACCCTGCTAGAATTCTCCTCCTCAGCACCTCCTGGGGAGACACAGCCTGACCTTCCCGTGTCACAGAGGTCGGGACCGCTGTCAGAGTCGGGACCACTCGTACCAACTCACATGCACAATGCTTGTTGCTGGGTTAAACACTGAGGTTAAGCACTGAGAAGGAGGAAGAAATGTCCCCTCTGCTCTCCCGGCTTTGTGCTGACAGGGGCCAGCAAGGGAGATTGCTCTGGTGAGCTGCTAACCAGAAAGGCTTCAGAGGAAGCAGAGGCATCGCACCACTGTGATCCGCCCACGCCACACTCACAGCGGCTAAAGCTTGGAGTGGACCGTGCACAGATGAGTGGATGAGGAGAGGTGATCCCCACACAGGCATGCGTGCACAGCAGCGCACACATGCATGAGCACTCTCTACCAGAAAGCAGGAGAGACCTCACTCATGCAGGAAAACAGATGCACCTCGGGACCACAGTGTTCAGTGAAATAAGTCAGATACATGAGCTTACATAGCACGTGGATTCTTGTACACGAGAAAGCTGCAGTATGCATAAAAAGCAAACAAAATATGATAGGAAACAGGAGACAGACTTCTCCACAGTGGAAAGGAAACCAGGATGGGGTGGGGGACCAGACCATAAAGCACGAAGGCTGGTCACTGATGCGCACCAAGCCTGAGCTGAACGTAATCATTGTGCGCTGCCCGAGTGGACTGATAAACACAAAAATCTAAAACAGTAAGCACCACCTCAGGACGCCCTCAGACAGGGTGACGGCTTCCCCCATCTCTGGGTAGAGCCCACAGGGACGGCAGCTTGGGTTAACCAAGGGGAGCAGTGACCCCCATGCCCCACGGGCATGGTGGAGCAGTGTGCCCAGTGGGGAGGGGGACACAACCACCATCCCATGGCCTGGGCATGTCTAGGTGGCCGGACGCAGCCACACCGAATGCCAATGGTTGCCAGGACTGAGCAACACACAGGCGGCAGAGCCCGCACTCCCAGGCAGCCAGGGAACACACCAGGGCTGTGACCCACCCGCCGGCAGGGGCATCGGGCATAATTACCGATGAACTCAAAGGCCTCCTCGAAGTACTGCCGCAGGTTCTGCTTGCTGCTGTCGGTGGCCGGCAGGCGCTTGTAGTTGAGCAGCCCCTTCTCGTAGTGGTACAGGGGCAGGTGCGTGGTGACGTTGATCACGTAGCCGATGTTAAGCCGCTGCATGGTGTCCAGGTCCTGGGCGTCCTGCTCGTTCCCCAGGAACAGGAAGGGCAAGATGGGCGTGAGCTCAGCGCTCTCGATGTCTGGGGTGCTGGGCACAGGTTGAGGTAGCAGGCCAGGGGCTGCAGCGGCAGCGCCCGCCTCCCGACACTCCTGCAACTGCAGGGAGTTGTCGCACAAGTTCTCATGGTTCTGCTTGAAGCTGCTGAGTCCTCCTGCGGCAGAAAAGGAAGCCACTGTGAGCCTGGCACAGCACATGGAAGCCAAGGCCTGCACGTGGGTGCGGGAGGTGAGGCCAGGGAGTGCTTAGATATCTGGGGTCCAGCTGGGACCCCAGGACCAGCCTCCCTTCCCTGTGTGGAGGGCCAAAGAACGTGCTTTTTTTTGGCAGTGGGTTTGAACCCAGGGCCTTCACACTGAGCTATATTCCCAGCCCTTTTACATTTTATTTTGCTAAACTGTCCAGGCTGGTCTCCAACTTGTGATTCTCTTGCCTCAGCCTCTGCTTAAAATATACCCCGCATGCTGATGGCACCATGAGGCCAATGGGTCCCACCCAGCATCAGTGGCTGCCTCATCTGCCTGGAGATGTGCCCTGCACTTGGGGCAGAGGAAGGCAGAAGAGAAAGCCTGGACCAGCCAGCAAGTGCTGGTGGCCGGGGTCCCGAGGAACCTCCTGCTCAGGGTTTTCACCTCACCTTCGGGGCGTGGGGTCTGAGGGCAGAGCCTGTCCCGTGTGTGGCTGGTGGGGGGTGAAGGGAAGTCAGCCATGGAAACCTCTGATGCACTGCAGAGGTGCTGAGCCCCAGGCCTGCGCTGCTGTGGGAGTCACGGATGCAGCCCCAAAGTTCCCATTCCCCTACCCACCCCCCCCCCAACAGGTACAATCCGGACTGTGGGGATGAAGATTAGGGAGCCCAGAGCCAGGGACGCCAAGATGCTGGCCACAGTATCTTGTGTTTAATGGAAGGGCCAAGAGAGGAGCCGAAGGGAGATTTCTGTAAAAGAAAGCGCTATTCATTGTGCATTCCGTGGACTATCAGCTAGGCAGTAAGAGGGCGGTGAAGAAACACACATGAGAACCGAGAAAACGCTTCTGCGCAGTGAACACGACGTGAAAGGCCAGCTAGTGCCGAACTTTCCCAAAGATGGAGGACCAAGTAAACGGGAACAGGAGTCCAGCTTGTTAAGTTTTCCTCTGGTGTCTGTTACACGTGGCTGAACGCAGGGCCACACCCAGAGGGTTATTATTGTACACAGGAGGACAGTGGATTCTGCCTTCTGTCCTCTCCGAGGAGCTGCCATTCAAGCCCAGCACGTGAGATCTCTGGCCTGGTCTTTGAAAGTGCAAGGAAAAGGACAGGAAACCTCCGAAAGCTGGAAGCCACCAGCCCACAGCTGAAAGAGTTTTGGCCCAGACAGGACACTGTAGCCAGTAAAGCCTCAGGCGGAACCAAGGAGCTCCATCTCCCCCACTCCTAGGAATTTACCTGTGGCCCCATCTTCCCCACCCCTAGAAATTTGCCCCGGTGCCAAACAAGTGCCAGTGGGCTACCTGTGCATCCCTAACGCCCCCTCAGGCTCCACCCCAAACCTAAGCTAAGTGTATGCCTTCACTACACGTGTCCCACGGAGAGATCGCTGACCCCAGGGGGAGATGCCACACCCCAGGGGGTCGGGGGTCTCTCCCCGAATTCTTAAAATGAAGGTCATGTATATTTTATACTTCTTTTCAGCCGCTGCCCCCCACAATTCTATCAACAGCATGTGTCCCCAGAGCCAGATGCCTCACGTCTGTCTCGATGGTCCTGGGAGGCAGGACAGAAAACACAGAGAGTGAGCAGGACGCCCTCGGGGAAAGGATGGCGGGCTCTGTCCTGTCTCCTCCAAGCCTGGTCCTCCATGACCGCAGCAGGAAGCTTCCCACCTACCCTGCCCACAACCCAGGGCTATCACAACCACAGACACAGCCGTGCTGACAGAGAGGGCCTCCTGTCAGGAAGCCAGGCACCGGTCCCGGAAAACCCCGCTACTCACCGAAATGGGTAAAACACAAAACTGCACCTTTCAAAAAGCAAGACAAGCGCCATAAACTCACTGTAACTGGTTTCTGCCATTGACACCCGCGCTCACGTCTCACTTTGTTATGCCATGGAAGCAATAAAGTTTGAGCTGAGAGAACTTGCAAAGTCCAAAGAAATGTGAAAACCAGAAAAAACTTCACAAGTGACCACTCTGAAAATAAATGAAAGCCACCAGCATTACCATCAGGGCTTCTTGGGGGGGACTCCCAAGAACGGTTTAAAATCTGCTCTGCTTCACTGCCACCAAGCCCCAAGTAGACAGATCCACAGGGCCCCTGTGGTGGGAACTTGTAATTCATGCTTTTTCTCCAGAAAAAGGCAACTGTGACATTTGCCACATCAGACGGGAAGAAAGAATGACAAACTCAAAAGACACTTACTCTGAAACAGGAAAAAAAAACCAACTTTCTCTTCTTTTTTGAACTTTCTCTCTTCTTATTTAGGGTACTAAAGTTGTAACTTGTCTTAAAAGCAGTTGTTAAAAAAGAAAAAAGGCAGGGGTGGGGGTGGGTAATGCCAGCAAACCCCACACTCAGAGAAACAGCAGAGAGCGCTTTACAGTTCCATTCTCCTGCCCTCCCCTCTTGCTCCAGGACCGGGCGAGGCTCCCACCTGCCCAGTTGCCATGGCAGCCACACAAAGACACAGGATGACATCAGCTGGCCCGCCACTCTCTGAGTGCAAACAATGCAAGAAGAACCACTTTGTTTAAGGCCTTTGGTGCAACTGCGCGGGAAGCCAATGACCCAGCGATGACGTAATGCAAACAGGTGGCAGGAGGCGGGGGTGGGAAGGCCAGTGTGGCAGGGTCTGTGAGTGCCTGCACCCTGTGGGAACCGCAGCCATGCACACTGGGAAGGAGAGTGGAGACAGAGAGGGCGCCAAGGGACCCTTGGGCATGGCCTGAGGAAGGGCCCCACTGTCCCTGGTCGCCACAGCGGCCTCGCTGCATAGCCCTGCAGGGCGTGTGTTTTGCACCAAGGTGGCCTGGAGTGGTGTGAATCCAGTCTTCTCTTCCAGCCACTTTATGCCCAGCCCACCCCATTGCATGGTGTCAGCCCTAGATGGGAACATCGCACAGTGACAGCTCCCAAGCCACAAGGTGGAGGTGTCATGGGTAACGCAGGAGCAGGGGCCCAGGCCGCAGAGATGCCTGACTGCCTCCCAGGAGCTGTGAAACCGCCGTGAATCCACATCCCTTACTGAGGCTCTGCATCAGGACCTAGGGTAGAGACACCCACAGGGTGGTGAGAGGGGAGCAGGAGCCGGGAGACAGGCAGCCTGTGCAGACAAATCACATCTCACAACCCCAGGACAGTTCCACTGTCCCAGCCCCGCTGCCACCTACCCACAGCCACATGCCAGTCTGGGAGCTGATTCTGGGCAGGAACTTGGGGGACCGACCTGGGACCTGACCACGCCCTGCCAAACAGCAGTGGAAGTCAGGCAGGGTGCTCGCCTCTCTGCTACACAATTTCCCACTGTGTACAGCAGGGTGAATAACCCTACCCACCTCACAGTCTGCTGCGGCGAGGGTTAATTATAAAGGACCCTGGAATAATGTCTAGCCCATAGGAAGCACTTTTTTTATTACTTTAGGAAAGAAACTTTTTAAAAATTGGCTTAATATGAAGACTCACCTGTAATCCCAGCACTTTGGGAGGCTGAGGCAGAAGTATCGCAAGTCCAAGCTCAGCCTCGGCAACTTAGCATCACAGCCAGATTTTATCTCAAAATAAACATGCACTGGGGACACTGTTCAGATGTGAAGACTGCAGTGCAATGTCCAGTGTGGCGTCAAAAAACCTCAAAACAATACTACTATTCCCGAGTTCTCGCTTTTCAATTTTTGTTCAAAGAACTAAGAGCCAGGACACCTGAGTGGCTCTAAAGCCCGTGGGCTATGACCTCACCGGGAGAAAGCCATGGCCTCTTGCCCTGCCCGAGGAGCTCGCCTGGCTTCACCACCAGCCCAGCACGCCCGGGAAAGCCTGCATGCACTTGGCTTCCTGCTTTTCCAGAGAGGACTGGATTTTGAAAAGCAAAAGGCTCCTCTTCATCCCTGCCTCCAGGAGCCCGGCCAGCCCGGCCCACTTCCCATGCAGACTTTGCGGGAGTCTGTAAAACATTTTTAAACCTCATCTGAAAACTGGGTTCTCCACCCTCTGAGAAAATGCATGCAAACAGCCGGGCTGCTTCCTGCAGCCACCCAGCAATGCCAAGGAGGCTGGGAGTCCAGGCGGGACTGGATTCTGTTTGCCAGACACCCCAGACCCTGCGCTGCGCTTGTACCGTGGGCAGAGGAGCCCCCGGAATGAGTGGGAAGCAGCCCCGGGGTGTGGGTTACAGACCCCTAGAGGTTATAGGGACCCCTAGGCAAGGATCCAAATATGGGCAGCACCTCCACACACAGGCTTTTGGTTTTCTGCTAAGCTGGAAAATGAGCACATCCCAGAAATTCCAGGAAGACTTCCCCTGAAGGTCAGCAAACAGGATTAACATCCAAAGAAGGGGAGGGCTCTTACATGGGCTCTCCGGCCAGTTTGCTTGTAGTGTGCTGTTTATTCCTGTTTGCTGCCTTGTTTGCCTCACTGGGTCACTGAGCTTTGAAAGTCAAACAGTACTTTGGGGACCTGAGAGATGAGCACAGATAGGAGCCAGACTGGACTCCAAGCCTGGCTCCTCCACCCACTCCCAGGCTGCCACCACAGCACCCTTCCTCAGCTCCTCATAAAGGCCCATGGCAGCACATGCCCTAACCAGGAACGACCTCTAAGGTCCATCTGCGCACTTCCACAAGAGTCTGCAGGTACAAGGACCTAGGGGATGGACACAACTTGGATCTGGTGGCTGACGTCAGTTTCCCAAAGCTGAGACCTTCCAAGAGAGGGTGAAGGGAGCCTCTCAGTTTCCAGAGTGGATAATGCCCATTCCACCAGGACAATCTGGAGCGTCAGGGAGGTCCCTAAGCTACTTTTGCCTCTCGCTTTCTATAAACTCATCCCTATCCTCTGTAGATGCAATCGGGGATTTTCTGGAACCAGGATTTCAAGTTCAGAGCTAAGAGGGGTCCACTCAGTCCTCTTACAACCCTCTCCCCAAAGAATTATGATTTCCTTCCCCAGGAGAAG